TCCATCCATAACGTCATAGTTGCCGATTGCTTAAGGAACTTATGTAGCAGGTTTTTTCAAAAACTCTTATCAACGCCGTCTGATATCGCTTTCAATCGATTATTACGATGTATGAAGAAGATAAACTGGATTATCGGAGACGTATAAGAGAGGGAATGAGAGAAATGATGTAAGTGCCGAAATTACGCATTGTACTTCCGGATACATATCTCTCTTTTAAAAATATAACTTCTTATCTACATTGTAACGTATATTACATAAATATATCACTGTCTGTTTCATTTTTCAAATTATCTATTGATATACCGCCTTATTCAGCCTGCTTCTTTCAGTCCTCTGAAAATCGGTTTTTTTTTGCAGACCTGGCTCTCATTTGTCTTTTCCGAGATGCCTAGATGTAAATATATCTTACAAATATATATTATATTTTCTTCTTATGAATTTACATGTATTTCTCGTGAATACTCTTCTGTTATTAAGGAGACTTCATCCATCGCTGAATAAATTATGGTTGAATAACAATAAATATAAAATCTGAATCGACATTGAAAATTAAATACGCAAAAAATAAAAATCCAGACAACCGCCGTTTCAAACGTAACGTGCATCTTCTTCGAAATTTCCTGCTCATTAAATTCTCTAATAGTCTAATATTTTTGAGATATTTTATCAGTCTACATCTTTGCCTCGACATCTCACACTATTGCTAAGCAATCTTTTTCGTGTAAATATGCGCACAATAATTTCGCGATATTACTTCCAAGAATACGTAGAGTTCCCTGATATTTGTCGCGGCCTTGGTGCGATGATATAAAACCGTAAGTGCGGTGATTTGGGATCGCATTCGTGCTGTTTCGACGTTCATAGTTTAATCAATCTCACGATGTTGCGATACCTTCTGTTCTTCTTGCAAGTGATCATTCTGGTGTTTTCGGCAAGTGAACCGACTATTCGGAAGAAGACGTTGGCACGAGTGCCGACCTGCTTGAATATAACCTCATACACCATCTGTCATCAAAATGGAATGATCTCGAACGTGACTCAGTTTTCCATACCCTACACGACATTGAAAATCCTCGAATTGAACCTTGTGGGAATTTGGCAGGACGCTTTCAAAAACGTGAGGGTGAACTCTGTCTCTAAGCCACAGCCACAGTAATAAGATATTTATCTTGAAGAGAGAATGCTTCCGCGGTCTAGGAAGATTGACCGAACTCAACTTGGATCACAACTGGGTGTCGTTATCGGGGCACTTATTCGCGGAACTGAAATGCCTACGTACACTGAGTCTGAGCAACAACAAAATTGACAATATATCGGCGGACGCATTCGCAGGCCTGTCAGGATTAACATGGCTTGACCTGAGTTTCAACCGTATCACAGAGTTCAGCGCGAATTTCTTCTTAAATCACATTCCAAATTTGCGTATATTGAACCTAAAATTGAACGAGATAGCCGAAGTGCAGCCGGGCGCCTTCACTTTTTTAAAGAATTTGGAACATCTCGATTTGACCCGCAATCGCCTAGAACAGAACTTCACTGTCGACGATTTTCGAGAGTTGGGTAAACTGGAGAGTCTTTCGTTTATTAATAATAGTATAACGAGCATCTCCGGGAAAATCTTCTTATCATCTAATCAGCTTGAAGTTTCTCAATTTTGACTATAACAAGATTAATATTCTTGAATTCGAGACATTCCAGGGATTGTCTCAGCTGCAAATATTAACCATAGAAATAAATAAACTGTCGAACATTGTAGAAGGCGCTTTTGACGGCTTAAATAATTTGAATACTCTTATCTTGTATGGAAATGATGTACAAGGCTTATCAGTCGACATTTTTCAAGGTTTGAAGCAACTGCAGCGTCTCGGCCTATCTTACAATGATATAACAAACGTGTCTTGGGTGCTTTTCCGTGATCTAACCGACCTGAATCTTCTTGATCTTCAGCGCAACAAAATCAGCACTCTTGAATCCGACACGTTCAAAGGACTATCTCGTCTGGATAGACTAACAATAACTAATAATCAATTGTTTGACATTGTAGTCGGCGCATTTGACGGCTTAATCCAACTGACTTACCTGGACTTGAATTCTAATCATTTACACAATTTACCGGTCGACGTTTTCCGAGGTCTGAACCAATTGCGGATACTTAACCTAAATTACAATAATATTACGAATGTCTCTAGGGCGCTCTTCCGTGACCTAGTCAACGTGCGTATCCTCTATCTTAATCGGAATAAGATCAGCACTCTTGAGGTCGGTACGTTCCAGGAGCTATCTTCTGTGCAAAGATTGCACTTAAGCAGGAATAAACTGTCTCACATTGTAGTCGATGCTTTCGCAGGGATGATCGAGCTGCAGATAATCGATCTATCTTACAATAACATCCACACGATTGATCGTGGCGCTTTTGCGAATCTTACTAAACTGCGATATGTCAATCTTGAAGGCAACAACGTTACCGAAATTCCCGAGCAACTCTAGTTCTATAGGCGCCTTTGAGGATCTTGTCATCCAGGCGTTTCTCAAGATTTGCAGCACCGACAATATCCACATCCACAAACGAATCCCCGGCTCACCGCGGAGGCGATATATCCAAGACCTCTCTTATCGTTGAATGTTTAGATTTGCTTATCGGCGTTGTCCGACATTGCTTTTAATCGATTCTCATGATATATAAAGAATGTAAGTTGGCTTATCGGTTGTGCGTAAATGGGAAGATGAGGAATATGATGTAAGTTCAGATATTACAATTGTATTTTCAGATTAATTATTATTCACGCTTGACAATATAACATGTTATACATATTTGAATCGATGTATGTCGTAATAAATCAGATTTCATATACTTCCCGTCGCATTTTCAAACGCACTTCTTTAAGTTTTTACGCTCATTGAATTTCTCGATAATCGAATATTTTCGGGGAATTTTAACATACTCCGTCTTCAACTTTGACGACTTGCATCGCCGTTAATTGATCCTCCTTCCGAGAATTCGAACGCGATAACTTCTGAATGGCAAAGTGTACAGAACTCGCTGATATAATGTGTCGTGACCTCGACGGTACAAAACTATAAGTACGGCCAGTTGCATTCGTGCTTCAACAGTCGCAGATCAATCGCTTCCGTGATGTTGCGATATCTTCCGCTATTCTCGCAAGTAATCCTCCTGGTGTTCTCGGCGAGCGTCGCCGCGCAGGTAGAGGCGCCGTCGAAGGTGCCGATTTGCCTAGACTTGCCGTCGACGGTTACAACGTCTGTCACTACAAAGGCATGCTCCTAAACGTATCTCGGTGTCTTGACTTTATGACCTCTTTGCCTCTCGATGACTTCGGCCTCCTGTCGATTTAGGAGAACGCCTTCAAGAACTTGAAGACAGAGTATTTGCTCCTAAGAGGTAATCAGATATCCGTTCTGCAGAAGGAATCGTTCTCTGGCCTACCGGAATTGAGATATCTCTACTTGGATAACAACACAGTGCCGTTGTTGGGGCGCTTGTTCTCGGAACTGAGACACCTGGAGTATCTATCGCTGTCGTACAACAGCATCGACTGGATTCCGGTGGACACGTTTGCGTGACTACCGAGATTGACGTCCTTATATCTGGTCTACAACCATATTACCGAGAGCGCCGCAAATATTTTCACGGATTGCACTCCCCAGCTATTTCATTGAATCTCAATTATAACGAAATAACTGAAGTGCAGCCGGGAGCCTTCTCCGGTTTAACCAAATTGAGGACCCTCTCGTTGGATCACAATAACATAAAGCAAACTCTCACAGCCGACGTTTTCCGAGGACTCGGCAAAATGATAGTTCTCTTCCTCAATTATAATAATATAACGTCCGTCTCTGGAGCGATCTTCCGTGATCTAGTCAGTTTGGATGATCTTTCCCTTGAATATAATGAGCTTGATATTCTCGAACACGAGAAGTTCCATGGGCTGTCTCGTTTGAATACACTAAATTTACAAAATAATAAATTGTCTTCCATTGTCTTCGGTTTATTCGACGGTTTTACCGGATTGAAGGAACTCATCTTGGGTAGAAATCATCTACAGAACTTACCGATCGATATTTTTCGAGTGTTGAGTCAATAGAAAAGTCTTAACCTAAGTAAGAATAATACGACGAGCGTTTCCGGAGCAATTTTCTGTGACATAGTCAATCTGAGAAGACCCTATCTTTAGTAGAAGAAGAGCATTGCTTTCAACCCGGTCCGTTTCAAGGGCTGCGTCATCTGGCAGTATTGAACATGAGCTACAATAAACTGTCTCTCATTGTAGCCGGCGTTTTCGCAGGGATGGTCGAGCTGCGGGTAGTCGATTTATCTTACAATAACATCCACACGATTAATCCTGACGCTTTCGCGAATCTTACCAACTAAATTGTAATATGTCAAGCTAACAACGTTACAGACATTCCCGAGCAACTTTAACTCCCACTTATGATGGCGTTTATGTCGCTTGACTACTTCTCTTATCGCAAAATTTCCACAACATATGCTACCGGCACCGCTTCAAATCATAGTTTTATGATATTTAAGAAACGTGAACAGAATTATTTAATATATGTAAAAACGTAAAACCATCGAGCGATATCGCATGCTAAAATTTGTAACATCTACTCGTATTTACTCTGCATATTTGTTGTGGTCTTTTCTGTACTTAAATAAATTTCACCCAAAACCTTGAATAAATTCTGTTTTAATAACAATAATAATATTGATTTACGATGAAAATTTAATTTTGCAACTGTCGCTGTTTCAAACGAAATGTATATCTTCTTCGATATTTCACGCCCCTTGAATTCGCTAATAATCTAATATTTTCGAGATATTTTTTCAGTCCACTATCTCTTTTCTTTGATATCTCGCATTGCTGTTATGCGATTCTTATGAAAACATGTAAACGATAATAACCTAATGTCAATTCCAAGAATATTTTCAGCTCTCTAATCTGTTGCAACATTGACACGATGTTATAAAAGCGTATGTACGGCGATTCGCGATTCACATTCGTGCTGTTCCGATGTTCATTAATTAATCGTTCTCGCGATGTTGCGATACTTTCAGTTGATTTTGCAAGTCGTCTTAGTGCTTTTGGTAAATGATGCCACTCAGGAGAAGATGTTTTCCGAAGTGCCGATCTGTTTCGATATAATCAATTGCAACGTCTGTCATCACAATGGCATGCTTCTGAATGTTACTGAGTCTTACTCGATCTTCCTTTCGCATTTGGATATTCAGAACTTGAGTCTCGTGGGAATTTGGGAGAACGCTTTTAAGAACCTGACGACAACAGGTTTGTCCTTCGCAGAAGGTAATCAGATATCTGTCGTGAAGAAGGAATGCTTCCGCGGTTTGCCGGAATTGTCTTTACTTTCCTTGGACAACAACTTGGTGCCGTTGTCAAGACATTTGTTCGCGGAATTGGGAGGCCTGACTTGGCTGTCTCTGAAAAACAACAGCATCGACAGTATACCGGAAGACACGTTCGCAGGCCTGTCGAACTTGAGGAAGCTTTCCCTGGGTTTCAACCGTATCACCGCCATCCGCTCGAATTTCTTCTTGATTCCCAGTCTGTATAAACTGGATCTCAACAATAACGAAATAATCGAAGTGCCGCCGTACGCTTTCAGTGCTTTAACGCAATTGGCTTTCCTCAACCTGGAACACAATAAACTACAAAAGAACTTTACAACCGACAGTTTCCGTGGGCTTAACCAACTGATATCTCTTAGCCTAAATAACAATAATATTACAAGTGTCTCCGGTGGAATTTTCCGACATCTAGTAAAACTATTTATTCTTCTACTGGGTCATAATCAAATCGGTATTCTCGAACCCGGAACATTCAAGAATCTGTCTCATTTGCGTTCATTATTTCTACAACATAATAAATTGACTCACCTTACAGTCGGTATCTTCGACGGTTTAACCGAACTACGAAACATCTACATATATAACAACTACCTTCAGAATATAACGGCCGACGTTTTTCGAGGACTGAACAATTTACAGTCTCTCTCACTTAATGAAAATCGGATAACGAGCGTCACTGGGTCGCCTTTCCGTGACCTAGTCAAATTGGAAGAACTCCTTCTTCAGCAAAATGAAATCAGCACTCTTGAGCCTGGCACGTTTCAAGGACTATCTCGCTTGACTTACTTGAATTTGAGCAACAACAAATTATCTTACATTGTAGTCGGCCTATTTGCAGGAATGTTTGAGATGCAGTCACTCGATCTATCTTACAATAACATTTACACGATTGATCCTGGCGCTGTCGCGAACCTCATTAATCTGCATAATATCATACTGGTAGGCAATAATGTTACCGAAATTGCCATGAAGTGCCCCGTCTTGTTGAAGTCAGCGATGCAATCAGCCTCTTGAAGATCTTCCGCAAAGTCGTTTTAAGAATGTGCATCATTGTGTCCAGCATTACTTCGAATTACCAATTATTGCGATGTATACAAAATATAAACGTACTTTTCGGAAACATGTTAAAGGAAGCATGAGAAAAACGATATAGGCGATAAGATATTGTATATTATGTTCTGGGAGATTAACATTTAATAGAACGTTATATATCGCAATAGACATGTTATTTCTGTAACGTGATAATGAATAACTTGCTTTGTAAAATTTGTTACATTTGTGATCCTCTTTACGCTAAAATGGATTTGTCTAAGGATGTTGAATAACCATTTAATAACAATAATAATATCTGAATTGAAAGATATCAAAATTCAATGTGCCGACTGCCACTGTTTAAATATAAGACATCCACATTTGTTTTTCCGCTCATTGAATTTCCTCAGCCGTCGAATATTATTCGGAAATTTTATTATTCCCTGCTTTTAACTCGAGCATTTTGCGTTAAAGCTCAACGATTTTTTCCTTGAAAATATATACACAATAATTTAATAATAATTTACCGATGCTAATGCTACAGAACACCTTTATTTCATGAGTTTTTGAGGGTTGGATTATCTGCAATATTTTCACCTAACTAACGATAATTTAACGAGCGTTTCCGGAGTGATATTCTGTGATTTGGTGATTTGATCAGCTTAAGAAGACTCAAACTTCAGTAGAACAAGATCAGTGTTCTTGAGCCCCGCTCGTTTCAAGGGCTGTGTCATCTGGAGTATTGAACATGAGCTGCAGTAAACTGTCTCTCATTGTAACCGGCGTTTTCGCAGAGCGAGTAATCGATTTATCTTACAATAATATCCACACGATTAATCCTGGCGCTTTCGTGAATTTTACTAACTGAATTGTGATATGTCAAGCTTGAATGCAACAACGTTACCGACATTCTCGAGCAACTGTAACTCCTACTTATGATGGCGTTTATGTTGCTCGACTACTTCTCTTATCGCAAAATTTCTTTAACATATGTTATCACCGACACCGCTACAAATCATAGTTTTATGATATGTAAGAAACATAAGCAGAATTATTAAATATATGTAAAAAAGTAAAATATGTAAATTATCGAGCGATATCGCATGCTAAAATTTGTAACATCTACTCGTACTTACTCTGCATATTTGTTGTGGTGTTTTCTGTACTTAAATAGATTTCATCCAAACCTTGAATAAATTCCGTTTTAATAAGAATAATAATATCTCCATTTACGTTGATAATTTAATATTGCAACTGTCGCTGTTTCAAACGCAACGTATATCTTCTTCGATTTGTCTCGCTCATTGAATTCGCTAATTATCTAATATTTTCGAGATATTTTTTCACACCATTATTTCTTTCCTTTGATATCTCGCATTGCTGTTATGCGATTCTGATGAAAACATATTTACGTGTTAACCTTGTGTCGTTACGTCGATAACCTTATGACAGTTGCAAGAATACTTTCAACTCTCTGATCTGTTGCAACATTGACAGGATGTTATAAAAGCGTGTGTACAGCGACTCGCGATTCACATTCGTGTTGTTCCGGTGTTCGTTGATTCATCGTTCTACCGCGATGTTGCGGTACCTTCAGTTGTTTTTGCAAGTCATCGTCTTAGTGCTTTTGGTAAATGATTCCACTCAGAATAAGACGTTATCCGAAGAACCGATCTGTGTGGAGATAACTGGTCACAACGTCTGCCATCAAAATGGCATGCTCCTGAATGTTATTCGGACTTCCTCGTCCGCGTATCAGGAGTATTTGACGATTAACAACTTGAATCTCGTGGGAATTAGGGAGAACGCTTTTAAGGACGTGAACATAACAAGTATGTCCTTCGAGCAAGGTAATCAGATATCCCTCGTGAAGAAGGAATCCTTCCGCGGTTTGCCGCAATTGGCTGCACTTTCGTTGAGCAACAATTTGGTGATGTTGTCGGGGCATTTGTTCGAGGATTTGGGACGCCTGGGTTGGCTGTTTCTGAGAAACAACAGCATCGACAATATACCGGAAGACACGTTCGCAGGCCTGTCGAGTTTGGTAATACTTTCCCTGGGTTTCAACCGTATCACCGCCATCCGCTCGAATTTCTTCTTGATTCCCAGTCTGCAAAAACTGGATCTCAGCAATAACGAGATAGCCGAAGTGCCGCCGAACGCTTTCAGTGCTTTAACGAACTTGCTAATGCTTCACCTGGAATACAATCAAATACGAGAAAACTTTACAACCGACAGTTTCCATGGGATTAACCAACTGGAATATCTTAGCCTAAATAACAATAATATTACGAGCGTCTCCGGTGGGATTTTCCGACATCTAGTAAGGCTACGTGATCTCCTACTGCATAATAATCAAATCAGTGTTCTCGAACCCGGAACGTTCCAGAATTTGTCTCATTTGCGCACACTAAATCTACAATATAATAAATTGACTCACCTTACAATTGGTGCCTTCGACGGTTTAACCGAACTACGAGTACTCAACATACAAAATAATGATCTTCAGAATATAACGACCGACGTTTTTCGAGGACTGAACGCTATACTGAATCTCGAGCTTAATAACAATCGCATAACGAGCATCACTGGGCAGCCTTTCCGTAACCTAGTCACATTGAAAAGACTCTTTCTTCAGCAAAATGAAATCAGCTCTATTGGCCCTGTCGCGTTTCGAGGACTATCTCAATTAATTAACTTGAACTTGAGCAAGAACAAATTGTCTCACATTGAAGTCGGCCTATTCGCAGGAATGTTTGAGATGCAGTCGCTCGATATATCTTATAATAACATTCACACGGTTGATACTGGCGCTGTCGCGAACCTCATTAAACTGCATACTATCAAACTGGCAGGCAATAATGTTACCATATTTCCCGAAAAGTGTCCCCTCTCATGCCCGGCTGCGAAGTAATCGGCCTCTTGAATATCTTCCGCGAAGTTTTTTTAAGGACGTTGCATCATTGTCGTCCAGCATTACTTCGAATTATCAATTATTACGATGTATACAAAATATAACCGTAGTTTTCGGAGATATACAAAGAGAGGCGTAAGGAAAACGATATAAGCGCAGATATTGTACATTGCGTCCTGGAACATTCCCATTTAATATAACATTATACATCGTAATAGATATGTTACTTATATAATATGATAATCAACAGTTTGCTTTGTAAAATTTATTGTACTTGCGATTCTGTTTATGCTTAAGTGGATTTATCTCACGTGAAATAAATAACGACTTAATAATATCTGAAGTGAAATATATTAAATTTAATATACCGATCGCTACTATTTCTGACTGTGACACGTACTTTGTACTTGTTCTCCTACTCGTTGCGTATCCTTGGTAATCGAATATATTCTGCGAATTTTATCATTCCCGGTTTAGAACTTCTATATCTCCCGTCGGCGTTATATAATTTTCATTCTAAAACGTACGCGATAATTTGTTGTTGCCAGTGTTAGTGTGCACAGAGCTTGTTCATTTAATCAGTCACAGGTTCGGCGCGGATAATACAGAAATCAGAATTAAGGCGTTTCGAGTTGTTTCGATGTCCATTGTTCAGTCGCTCTCGCGATGTTGCAATACCTTGCTTTGCCCTCGCAAGTCGTTATTCTGGGCCTTTTAGCGACTGATCAGCACAGGAGACGTCTGCGCAGGCCTGCCGACTTGAACTTGAGCGCTTACAACAACTGCAGGGACGTGCTTCTACACATGACTAAGTTTAGCGAACACGAGTCTATTTTGTTTTCCAACCATTTGAAACTCCTGGCGACTTGGGAGGTCGTCTTCAAAAATGTGACGTCGGCTATTTCTAGATTATCGGTAATCAAGTATTCGCCCTGACGAAGAGTCCAATCGAGAGGTTAAAGTTGCTCTTGTTGTGAATAGTGTGTTATGTATCGTGTTACATAAATAAGGTAGTAAGTGGCACTTTTTCAGGGATTCCGAAGTTGTTAATACTCGATCTATCCGAAAATAATCCACACGGTGGATATCGGCGCCTTTGGGGATCTTATCATCCATTGCGTTTCTCAAGATTTGCAGCACCAACAATACTTACATCTGCAAACAGATCTCCGACCCGCCGCGGAGACGATATATCCAAAATCTCTCTTATCGTTGAATGTTTAGATTTGCTTATCAGCGTTGTCCGACATTGCTTTTAACCGATTATCATGATATATAAAAAATTAAGCAGGTTTATCGGATATGGGTAAAAAATGGGAAGATGAGGAATATGATGTAAGCTCAGATATTAGTATTTTCGGATTAATTATTACTCACGCTTGACAATCTAACATGTTATACATATTTGAATCGATGTATGTCGAAATAAATCAGATTTCATATACTTCCCGTCGCTTTTCCAAACGCGCTTCTTTAAGTTTTTACGCTCATTGAATTTCTCGATAATCTAACATTTTCGGGGAATGTTATCATTCCCCGTGTTCAACTTTGACGTCTTGCATCGCCGTTAATTGATCCTCCTTCCGAGAATCCGAGCGCGATAACTTCTGGATGGCAGAAGTGAACAGAACTCGCTGATATAATGTGTCGTGACCCCGATGGTAGAAAACTATAAGAACAGCCAGTCGCATTCGTGCTTCAACAGTCGCAGATCAATCGCTTCCGCGATGTTGCGATACCTTCCGCTGCTGTCGCAAGTAATCGTCCTGGTGCTCTCGGCGAGCGTCACCGAGCAGAAGGAGGCGCCGGCGAAGGTGCCGACTTGCCTAGACGTCGACGGTTACAATGTCTGCCACTACAAGGGCGTGCTCGTTGACGTAACTCAGCGTCGCTTCGAGGATCGACTGGAAATCGGCGACTTGGACCTCTTAGCGATCCGGGAGGATGCCTTCAAAAATTTAACGGCGACGCACTTGTACCTAAACCAGGGTAATCGAATATCCGTACTGAAAAGGGAGTCTTTCCGCGGCCTGCCGATGTTGAAGTGGCTCCACTTGGACAGCAACGTGGTGCCGTTGTCGGGTCACTTGTTCGCCGAGCTGGGAAACTTGCAGTCACTGTCGCTGGTCTTCAACAAGATCAACTCGATACCGGCGGACTCTTTCGCAGGCCTATCGAAGTTGACGTGGCTCTACCTCGGCCATAACGACATCGCTTCGGTCGACGCGGACTCATTCTCGTATCCCAATCCCGAGCTATTGTTTCTGTGGCTCAACAACAACAAGATCACTCGAATAGAACCGGGCGCGTTCGCCAGTTTAACTGAATTGAATCGCCTCTACTTGGACCACAATAAGCTGCAGGACTTACAGGCCGGCGTTTTCCAAGGACTGAACAAGTTGGAAGTACTCTACCTAAATGATAATCAGTTAACGAGCGTAACCAGGCCGCTTTTCCGTGGCCTAGTCGACCTGAAGAAACTCTATCTTCAACATAACGAGATTAGCACTCTTGAGGCCGGCACGTTCCAGGAGCTGTCTCAGTTGGAACAACTGTATCTCGGCAAGAACAAACTGTCTCACATTGTAGTCGGTGCTTTCGCAGGGATTCTCGAGCTGCAAGTACTTGATCTATCCGACAATAACATCCACACAGCGGATAACGTCATTTTCGAAGGTCTCACGAAGCTGCGTCTTCTCAAGATCGACAGCAACTCCACCGAGAAGCAGATCGGCGACTCGTCCACGACACCGGCAACGTTCACTTTATAAGAATCTCTCTTATTATAGAATTTGTTGAGTTTATCAGCGACGTTTGGCATCGTTTCGCATCGATTATTATTACGTATGAGAAACACAAACAGACTTATCAGTGACCTTTAAAAGAGGAGATAAGGAAACGATGTAAATGCAAATATATATATTGCTTTTTAAGATGTATCCGCTCAATAAGAAATATAACATATTATATCATGTAATATATATTACTTGTATAATATTTTTTCATCTATAAATTTTCTTATGTCACAATCATCTCTGCGCTTGTCTATATTTGCCCTGGAGCGCTGAATAAAGGACGCTTTAATAATAATGTCGTCTCAATCAGCGTTGAAAGATATCAGATTTAATTACCGGCCATCGCTATTTCGAACGCGACGTTCGTATCTTCTTTAGTGTTTTTTTCTCCGCCCATTGAACTTTCCCGATAATGGAACATTTTCAGAGAACTTTATCATTCCCTGTCTTCAACTTTGACATGTTGCGTCGCCGCTAAATGATTCTCCTCTCGAGAATGCGAACGCGAAAACTTTTCGATATCAGTATCAAGAGTGAACAGAACACTCGATACTGCGATATTGATCGTACGAAGATTCCTCTTATCAGAATTTATTAAAACAGGCTTGTCCACGCCGTTATTTTACACCGATTGTTATATATAATGATAATGTATAAGGAATATAAACAGACTCGGTCGCGTTTAAAAAGGGAAATGAGAAAAACGACGTAAACACAGATGTTATATATTGTATTCTGAGACATCCGAGCAATGTGACGTGTCGTATTTGCCTAGCAATACGACGTGTCATACTCGTTACACATATTATTTATTTAACATCACATTCTTCATTGTAAATTTTTATGTATTTTTTATGACCATTTATACGTTTGATAATATTCGTCCTAAAGCGCTGAATAAAAGACGCTTTAATAATAATAACGTTATCTGAATCGACTTTGAAAGATATATCATTCATCACGCCGGCTGTCGCTCTTTCAAACACGACATTCTCTCACCTTCTTCTAGTTTCTTCACTCATTGATTTTCGCCAGTAGTGGAATATTTCCGGGGGATTTTATCATTATAATTACTGGCGAAAATCTTCGTTCCTTATCTTCATTCTCCGTCTTCAACTTTAACATCCTGCGTAATCTATTCCCTCTCTCGAGAATATGAACGCGATAACTTCTCGACAGCAGTGTCAAGAGTACACAGATCTCGCCGATGCAGTCTATCGCGGCCGCAATTGTAGAAAACTAAGAACAGCGATTCGCAGTCGCATTCCCGCTGTCTCGGCAACCGCCGACCAATCGCTACTGCGATGTTGCGACACTTTCCATTGCTCTTGCAAGTCGTCGTCTTTGTGCTCTCGGTGAGCGCCGTCGACCAGGAAGAAGAGGCTTCCGCGGGAGTGCCGATTTGCGCGGACGTGGACGACTTCAACATCTGTCACTACAACGGCGTGCTTGTGAACGTGACTCAGCGTGGCTCCGAGGATCATTTGGGTATCTGCGAGTTGGATCTCCTGACGATTCGGGAAGACGCCTTCAAGAACCTGACAGCGACGCATCTGTACTTAGACCAAGGTAATCGGATATCCGGCCTGAAGAAGGAATCCTTCCGCGGCCTGCCGAGACTGACATGGCTCGAATTGGACAACAACCAGGTGCCGTTGTCGGGACACTTGTTCTCGGAACTGGGACGCCTGCAGTCGCTGTCTTTGAAATACAACAACATCGACAGGATACCGGCGGACTCGTTCGCAGGCCTGTCGAGCTTGGTGTGGCTATTCCTAAACAACAACAACATCACCTCGATCGACACGGACTCATTCTCGAATGTCATTCCTGAGCTACTGTGCCTGTGGCTCACCGATAACAAGATCACCCGGGTGGCGTCCGGCGCTTTCGTCGGTTTAACCCGACTGAATCGCCTTTACCTGAGCTACAATCAGCTGGAGGACTTACCGACCGATCTTTTCCGCGGGTTGAACAAGTTGGAGATACTCTACCTGCATAATAATCGGATAACGAACATCCCCGAGACGCTCTTCCGTGACCTGGTCGAGCTGAAGGTACTTTATCTTCAGGAGAACAAAATCAGCACTCTGGATCCCGGGGTATTCCTCGGGCTGTCTCAGCTGGAAGAACTGATTTGTGACAAGAATGAACTATCTGACGTTGTAGTTTCGACGCTTTCGGAAGGATGTTCTACTTGCAGTCACACGTTTAGCCCAACACTTGTACCCGAACAGTTTGTAACGGTGTTTTTGAACATGTCAAGTGAAGCTCCCATCAATTTTAGGTTGCCGGAACCAGCGATATTATCGAGACTCGCCATAACCTTGCGAACTTGTCGTCTGCGGTATCTGCAAAAATTATTATTTACATGAAGATTTCTCTTATCGTAGTATTTTTTGTAGTGCACTTATCATCGGCGCCGCCTGGTCTCGCTTTGAATCGATTATTACGATGTATAAGGATCACAAACTGGCTTATCAGAGACATTTAAAAAAGGAGATAAGAAAAACGACTTAAGCGCGTGCTGGTTGTATATTATATTCTCAGATACACATAGCCTAACAATAAAACGTGTCTAAATCAACGTTGAAAAATTATATTTAATATTTCGACCGCCGCTTCAGACGCGGCGTTCACCTTCTTCGAGTTCCCCCGCTTATTGAATTTCCCGGGTAGTCGAATATTTATGAGTGTCCCGTGCCCTGTGAAAGGACGAGACGTCGTGTCGCCCCCGGCGGATTTTGCCACCCTCTTTTCATATCGTGTCGTAGACCTCGCACGCCCGTCGAGACTTTCATCAGCCACAAACGAGACGCCCCTCTTCGAGATTCGGCGATGGTCGCGTTCAATGAAAAGCACCTCTTCGAGCACCTCTCCGCGACGCGATGTATGGCGTGACGCGTGTGACGTAGAATCACCGTGAAAGAAGTCTCGAGAAAGACTGCCTGATGCAAAAACTGAACAGCACTCGTGAGATGAAACGTTCGCTCAACGAACGCCTCGCGGCTCAGGTCAATCTTTACTCTGCACATCTGCGGGGTTCACGTAGAATCTGCGAAGTAGTCAAAGAATAAAATTTGAGATATTAAAGTGCCGTATATATACCGACGGACGGATGGGATTTAAAAAACTTACCGCTGAGGAAACCACCGGGGCGGACGAGTGTGTACACACACACACACACACACACATATATATATACTCGTCCGCCCGGGTGATTTCCTTAGCAGTGAGTTTTCTAAATTCCATCCGTCTGTCGGTATGTATAGCTTTTCGTTTGTACCGGGGTGAAGGCGAATCTTTCCCAGAGGCGGAGAACTCGAGCATAGCGAAGATACTCCGGATATTTTTCGCGAGGAAACTTTTCCAGGGAGCCTCCTGTCTGCCTTCTCTACCATTGCCAGAGATTGCCTCCAGTAATGAAACTCGCCGGAAGAGGAGGGTAGGGTGGGATATTAAAGGGACAGGCATTATAAAATAAAACGTGTCGCTCGAGCGTGAATATACTTTGTGTGTGTTTGTGTTTGTTTGTGTGTATGTGTGTGTGTGTGTGTGTGGCGCCCGTGCAATTAGACGAGGGTGAGAATTGAAATTGCGAGAATCGGGAAGAGAGCGTCGTCGCTTTGCGAAACATTGGAATATCATCCGACACGAAGCACTCCGTTCGAAAATGAAAATGAATGCGTCGATTGCCGCCGATGCGCTGTTCCTTTGATGAAAATATTTTGCTAAAATACTCTCTCAATGGATCCCATTTTATTAATATATGCTGTTTTCAGTTTAATTCAGTAAATCTCATGATATCTGATGTTTCAAACATTTCTCTATCTTCAGAATTATTATCATGATTATAATTTTCATGATATCTCACAGGATCGCAATGAATCTCACGATGAAAATTATGATTTACTTTTGAAACATTTATTATTACATATTTCAGTAATTTTTCAGCAAATTTTCAGTTGGATCAAGTAAATATCACTTGATTCAAGTTTTATGTCAAATAATATATCGAATTTTATATTACATATTTATCAAGTTACATATTGCTCGAACCGAATAAAAATTTCCTGAGGAGTACTGAAATAATTATTTACTTAAACCCAACACTTTTTTCCCGAGCGGAAGATTTCTATTCGGTCGGTCGTGTTTGCAGTTACCTCGGCCGGATTTGAATCCAGCTGCGTGTTCTTCACACGGAAGAAGCGATTCGCTTGAATTTTCCGTTGCCTGAGGGAACAGGCCAGAAATCTCGGTAGTGGAAGAGAAGATATTCTTGCCTGTTCTTGAGATTCCTACTCAATTGCTCTCAAGTGTCTCGAGCGAGCTTCAACGCAGCCGAACGTTCTTGCGAACGTTTCTCCGTAACGCGGTAACGGTGATATCCATTCCTCGTCGCCGAGTCTTCAGAAACCGGATTTTCCTTCTCGTCGCGCGAACGACGAGAAAACGTCCCCGAGATATCGCCGAGATCGCATTCTCCGCCGCCGAATTTTCGTTTCCGCTCCTTATTTATCGCTCAGTTACGAGACTTTTTTGTCCCCCGCGATTCCTGTCTGCGGACGCGATGGGACGCGCGGGGTGGGGGG